CAAAGTTGTCTTCATTGGGGTGAAGTACTTAAAAATGGTGTAAGAATTAGTTATGCTGAACAGCCTCTGCAGATTAACAATTTTTAATGAGAATGCAATTTCACCACAGGTGAACGTGTCTGAGATAGAACCAAGTCCAAGGTATCTTGCAGACACCATCATTGCACTGACACCCACCTTAGCTACTCTGCGTAAAACTGCAATCCAGACCCTACACACATACTCTCTCTGCCCTTACCCTAATTTTTTTTCTCCTTAGCACATATCACCACCCAACAGGCTTGCTTATTACCATTGTAATGTGAAATTCTATATAAATATGGATATTAAAAGCTTTGTTCAGTGTTAATTCTTCAGCACCCACAACATGTCTGGCATGCAGACAGCATTCAGTACACACCTGCTAAATTTAAAATGTGCTAAATGCGGCTTGCAGGTTAGCTCAGTTGTTTAAAGCCCCGCTTGGGCAAACTCAGGCAGGCTCAGGGGACCGCGGTTCAATCTCCAGTTCCACAAACTGCACCAAACCTGCCCTTAAGACAGCATGAGCTGGCAAAAAAAAAAAAAAAAAAAAAAAAAAATCCTTCTAAAATGTGCTAATTGAAAAACAGCTTATCAGCCAGCATGGTGGTGCACACCTGTAATCTCAGCACTTGTTAGGCTGAGGCAGGAGGATTGTTGCAAGTTCAAGACCAGCCTGGGCTACAAAGTGAGCTCAAGGCCAAACTGAACTGTCACATACTCTGAATAGTGAGACCACGTCTCAAAAAGACAAAAATTTTAAAATGTTTTTAAAAAGCAGATCGTATCAGTATATACTACAAAAATTTATATTTCTATTTCTCTAGAAGAAAAAGCAAATGTGCATACAAAGAAAAGGCCTAAAAGGAAAAAAGGTATTAACACATAACATACAATTACAAGGTTGGTACTAATGGCTTAATACTCCACGTTTTTTTATAATTTTTCTTCATACATTGAATACACAATAAATTTTGGAGATAGGTCTTGCTTTACTTTCAGAATTAAGAGCCTTGTACACAGTCCTTTAGACCAAAAGCAGTGGTTCTCAAAGTAACCCTAAAGAAGCTGAAACCAAGTTGTTCACAACTAAAAAACACAGCCTGCAACCAACTCAAAACTTCTTATAAATCTTTCACTTCATTTTAAAAATTAACGTGTTTATTACATTCTACACAATATCTTTGCTCTATGAAAATTACCATTTAAACTATTTCATATTTCTCCCCAAAGCCTTAATATTAGTTTTGCACATGAGAAGGAGGCTCTATGTAACCCTACCCAATGGCACCTATCCTTTTGAGAGGCATAATGCTAGAATACACTATTTCAAGGAATACATACTGGTGCAATCTAGCAAGCTCTTAACTGAGGTTAACCATGTTCAGAATTTATAAAAGCCTATTGCAAAAACTTAAATGAAGTTACCTGTTTTGTGTATATCTGTGTATAAACTATATTGTAGTGATAAGAGTCAGAAGCTTATGGTCCTGAGGGCTCCAAGCAAGGAACAAGGAACAGAGCCTAAGGAAACTGGCCCCTTGTAACTCGGCAAACTGAAAAAGCCTATTAACCAGCATGGTGGCGCATACCTATAATCTCAGCACTTGGGAGGCTGAGGAAAGAGGACTTTTAGAAGTTCAAGACCAGCCTGTCGGAGGTGCCCCGTCTGTTCTTTGTTCCTTTGCCTGGGAATAGTGATATGTAAAACTTAAAGAGTTTGGTAAATGCCAAAAGGACACATAAATAGCAGCTTGCTTACACCAGACTAGTTATGCACATTCCTTAGCCTGTCTGTAGCCCTCAATACATGTGGGAAGTTCCCATAGCTGGGTCATAGAGCCAGATTAAAAACAAAAAAGCCTATTTTCTTGCTGTTTAGTTTTTCCACAATTTCCCTCATTTCACAACTAGTACTAAGGCTTCAACTAGGCCATTAAAGAGACTCAAAGTTCCCAAATAAAGGCAAAAAGCCCCAAACATTCATCTAAGCATCTTCCTATCTTACATTTTACATCACATCCATGTAACATCTGGCACTATTGAACGTACAATCCCACTTTTCCCTAAAACCAGCTGCATAGTGCTAAGGGACTCACATTTAACAAAATCATAAAAGGGTTGGGAGGGTGGTGATTAGGGAAGGAAAAAAAATTGAGAAGTGTTGTATATGTTTGCCAATTCCTCACAATAAATGTGATCACTGTGTACTGACTATGTCCTAATAAAAATTACGTTTTAAAACAAATTAGTAAACTGCATGCATATCTCATACATTCAAGTCTAATATTATTTAAGTCAGATAATAGTTTTAAAACACTTAAGTGATATATTTTCCCTAAAATATTTAAATAAGTTATTTTAATAGCTAATTTCTGTGCCTGATTTTTAATATCTGGTAAATAAAATCAATTAGCTTAGGTATAAATGAAGCTCAATCGATATTTTGCTATTATTTCTTAGAATCTGTGATAGTTATACATTTTCACATTTTGTAAACAAGATGATTAATATCTAATTTCCTGAAGACAGCCATTAAAAATAACCATGTTCTCAAACCACATATAATCATTCTATTCTTAGAAGCAATGTGATTTCCAAAAATTTATACACGTTCAAATCACACATTGCAATGCTAATTCCCATGGCAGGCATAAAAGACAGGCACTCTTAAAGACATCACTCCACCAAGAAGTGCACTCAACTTACAAAGAAATAAAAGATTTATCATATAAAAATCATTCTGCTTTGACCTTGACAAAGCACTGTACACTTACTTTAGTTACTGTGGCAAATTGATTTAAAGCTTATGTAAAACCAAGTCTTTTTCTTCTACATTATAGAACTTTCGCAGGCATTGCCACAATTTGATAACACAAGGAATGGGGTTTGTAGCAATATAGTTATTCAAGCAAGAATTATTAATGAGCTGGGCATGGTGATGCGCATGTGTAATTCCAACTACTTGCACAGCTGAGGTAGGACACCGCAAGTATTGAAGCTAACCTGGGCATTAGACCCAGTCTCAAAATTTATAAGAACTTTGCTCCTTAAATTTAAACCTTACTACTATTAATAACAACAACCTATTACAGGAGGGAACAGGGCTGTGCTTTTGAAACTAGAGTAAATGGGGTTAACAGAGACCTAGGGAGCACAAAAACAGTCCTAGATATAAGGGTAGGGAGAGACCTTGTTGAAACAAAATAAAATCTTTTTTTATGCTTACACATACGACATCAAAAAGCAAAATATGGATAACCTTACAGCTGTAGATCAAGGAGATCAGGAGCAAAAACATAATCCTCAAGAATATAAATGCTTAGCCTTACCTCCACCTGGTTAACTAGGGTGATGGGTACAGGGCTAGAAATAGCTTCTGATAAAACAAGTGGGATTTAGTAAAGTATCATCACCACCTGTTGATATTTTAACGCACTGGCTCACTTTATTTCTTTAAATTACACTAAAGATCTATCTGAAAGGCAGGCCCCTTTCCTATCTCGCGCCAAATTGCCGGTCTCACAGTAGGAGAGGTCCTACCCTTCTGTTGTAGGGAACCCCAGAGAAATCGCAGCGGCAACACCACACCCCTGCACCTAGGCAAGGAGGTAGGTAAGTGGAATAAGGCTGAGTTGAGCACCACGACGTGTCTGTCTAGAAAACAACTTGGCCTTACTCCGAGATGCAGCTGTGCCCAGATGCACACGCTCCTAAGCACCACCTGCCAGGGTCCCCACGAGCGAAGGTGGAGGGCGTGTCCGCCCTGGCGAGTCCTTAGCGGAAAGGAACATCAATAAGGTTTTGTGTGGGAACGTTACACTTTCCTCAGCCTGTAAGTCATTAAAAAAAAAAAAAAAAGAGGCAAGGTGGTTCCCGTTCTAGAACCGCGACTATACTGGAACAGGGGCCGAGCCCAGAGAACGTCTGAACGGTCTGGGAAGCTCGCCGTTGGCACCCCCCTGGTGGACCCGGGCTCTGCTTCCAGCTCCCCGAGAAGCCGAGCAGGCACAGGGGCTTCCCACAGGGCCTAACAACAGACGAGGTGCAAAAGAATATTCTGGGAAAGTGACTCTGCGCTTGCAGAACACCACGTTTCCAGAGTGAGGGCACTTTCTCAGGTTTTCTCTTAAACCTTTCCCGCGTAAAAGAAAAAAAAAAAAATTGCATCACGTGCCACAGCCGGACCAATAACACTCGCGAATCGCATTCCCAGGCATGGCGGGGGCTAGCAGGAGAGGAGCTACCTCCGGGACCGACGGACTCCCCAGCCGGCCCTGACTGTCACCTGAAGCAGGACACCCCGGAGGGCCCCGCCGCAGCCCCTGCTCTGCCGCGGGCCGCACAGCTGCCACGAAAGGGTCTTATCGAGTCCTGTAGGCCCACCGGGCGGTGCTGCGAGGGCCAACCGCGTCGGGTCGCCATAGAGACCTGGCAGGCGTGGCGAAGGGGCCAAACCTCTCCGGAGAACGCTGCCCCCACCTCGCGCACATGCGCAGAAGAGCGATCGAACTTGCGCATGCGCACTAACCATCTCCAGAAACCAGTCTTCACTCTAGACCCTTGGGGGGGTGTCAGCCCCGCCGTAATGACGCCAAAGACGCCATATGCCGTAAAGCTGCGGAGAGTTTACGACGCGCGCTTTCGCGGTCGCGACCGCCTTCATTACCATCTATTGGCAGCAGAAATTGTCATTTGCCCATAAGTGTTGTAAAGACGAAACGAGAAACTTCCCAGGTGGCACAGACTTCGTCAGGAAAGTCACTAAAACACACTTTTATAAGTTTTATTAGCATAGTTTACAGCTGCTTACTTTATGCAAGTTTTGTTTGAACCGCTGACTGGCACAATTTCAGCCATTAGTTCCCGCCGCCAGCCGCGAGAAGGATAAGCGCTGTCTGCGCCTTTAACAGCGCAGAGGGGTCTGGAGTTAAAGGCTAACGGGCTCTGGCAGCTTTGCCTTGTGGGAGATGCAGTCCCTCCTTCCGTCCACTTTGCGACCTCTCGGCTATGTGTAAAGTCCTTAAACTGCGATTCCCAGAATGCCTGGAAGATTCCCAGACTGCTTTGCGAAGGTATGAGGGGGAAGATGCGACTGTCAGCCCGGAAAGTAAAAAGGACATTTTAATTCAGCTAACAAGAGGACAAAAGGCAGACGAACATTCTCTCGGGAGAATCTTTGTGTCAATATATATAACTAAAGCTCCTGTAATACAAATGTGTGAATTTTAGTACGTGTCAGGTCAGGCGGACAGATTTCTGCAGATTGCAGTTAGCATCCTCACTACGCCGAAGTTTTCTTTGAACATGATTTGTACTGTTCTACGAGCTGTACAGTATGCAGAGAAACTGCACAGGTCCTCCGGGAGGCGACTGTTGTTGCCCTACTTTGCGCTTAATAAAGCTTTCTTTACGACTGAGCCTTGTTTGAGACGGGGACTGCAAGTGCAGAAGAAAAAGGGGCGACCTGGATCTATCTTTGAAGTCACCCGGAAAACTGTATGGACGCAGGGACTGCGACCGCAGAAAGCAGACAACAGAGGCAAGCAAGTCTCTGCGCACAGTGGTCAGAAAGGGGAAACTGCCATCACAACGACTCAAAGAGGTAAAAAAATATTTATGGTATTCTGTCCTCCAACCTCACGAGAGCAGCCAGTGACTTTTTTTCTTCTTTCTTTTCAATCTTGAGTCTACAACTAGAGAACACAGACGTACACTCATTTGAACTCGGACTTGAAAGTTGATTTTGATAGTGATGTAACTATTGCGTTGTATCTAGAAAAGTTTTATTAACTTATGGTATGACTTCTTGTGATATATATATATATATATATATATATATATATATGGCAGTTGAATTGTATAAATAGGTTATTGAGTCATAATCAACAGGGTTTTGTAATTCAGCTCAATAAACTGTTCTATTGAATAACTGACTTTATTTCCAGATCCTGAGTTGGAATGTGTAGACTGCAAAATTAAAGACATTTAAACATTCTTTTTCCTCAGACACTTTAGGTGGAGTAATGGAATACACTGAGTGGGAGGATGAAATGTAATTTTGTTAGGGAAAGTGAGAGACGTTTTCACAGGATTTAAATGTTTTGTTTATTTCTTCATCTTACAAGAATTAATAGGAAAAGAACAAAAGGAGGCAAAGAGAGCAATTCAGACTCCCCATTATTATACCACACAAAGATGACACTATAATGTACATGTTTTTTAATATTTAATATAGACGTTTATATCCTACCAGTTATTTTGTAGTGTGCTGAATATATTAAAGTCCAGGATTTTCATTCATGATACTAATTTAGCACAAAACAGCAGCGCATATGCTGGGGTTAAATGTACACAAGTTTCAAGTAGCCTGTGTGTTGGATCATCTGGCTCAAGCAACAGTGCTGTGTGCTCTACAGGCAAAATCTGCTGCAAAGCCCTTTCCTGATATGGACCCATCCAAAGGTGACAGCTTTCCTTCCTAGTGATTTTCGGTGAACTGATGGGAACAATAATTTCCATCTATAGAATATGTTGCCTCTAAAATCCAAAGAATTCAACCAAGAATAATGGTAAACAACAGATTTGATGATAAAAATAGATAATAAAACAACCATTGTTAAGGAGTTATTTTTGTTTTGAAAATTTGTAACATATATTGTTGTATATTACCGTTTCTGTCTTTGTTTCTGCTATGTTTTTGTTTTTATTCTTCAAAATTAAATTAAAAAGAATAATGGTGATAAGCAAAGGATGCAATATTTTATCGTTTATTTAGAATAAGATTCCTCCCAGCATGCTTCCGAGAGTTTGCCCCTACTAGTCTTGCAAGTGGTTTAGTGATCCTCTAAATCTGGTTGGACCCACTTCTCACATTTGGAACCCACATTTTACCAAACCCTCTGACACACTTGCCACTTGTTCCTTGGCTGTAATATAGTGACCTTATTATAGTAAACAAATGTGATATTCTACTGAATGTCCAGAATAGCATTATCCAAGTAAAATTTTCTGCAATGATGGAAATATCGCATATCTTTGTTGTCCAGTATGGTATCCACCGACCACATTATGGCTTTTGAACATGCGAAATGGAACTTAATTCTAGTTAATTTAAAATTAAACCGAATAACCGTAAGTGGCTAGTAGCAACTATACTGAACAGACCAGGACCAGAATGTTTCAATTCCCTTAAAACTATATAAAGAGGCTGGAAGAATTATCAAATTCTAGGGCAGTCCACAAATATGTCCTTCTGTCTCATGTTACTGCTAATTGCCACTGCTGCTGCTTCTCAATAGAAATATAAAGTATTCTTCAGCCTCAGTGTCATGTATTAATGTGCTCCCATAATGTTCTCATATCTAGCACTCCATATGTGAGGGGGCTACTGTTTAGTTGATTGTAGTAATCTACAATTATTCTCTAGCACTTTCCTGGTTTTTGAAGGGGAAGACTGGTGACTTACATAGTACTTTTTTTTTTTTTTTTTTTTTTTTT